GTGACAAATACAAAGCAACTAATTTTTTTAACCAAAAGCCACTATATGTTTTTGAATAATTATGTTTCTCAATTACCAACTTACTCTGTCTTCACTCTGTTATATTAAGTACCAATTATTTTCATTTATTTTTCATTGTAAAACAGGGTCTCACCGTCACAATTCTGCTTTTGCCTACCAACTGAGACTACAGGCACAACATTTTTAGAATGGTTCTCCCCATGTTGCGCAGACCAACCTCTCTCTCTCTCTCTCTCTCTCTCTCTCTCTCTCTCTCTCTCTCTGTTTTTTGTTTGGTTTGGTTTGGTTTGGTGGAGGGGTAGGAGGGTTCCTATAGAGTAATACATTTGCGAGAGAGAGACAGAAAGAGAAAGTGAGAAATCACCCCCTGGGGGGGATGGGCACACTGCATTCCCTTCTCTTCCATTTTCCTATGGGTTTAGGGGCATGCACACACATGTGCCCAGCATAATTTTCAAGCTATTGGTTACAAGACTCAAAACTGTGATCAGCCATGGGAAACTCCAGCACCTTAACCACCACACCACCTGCTGGCCCTGCCCAGGCCAGCTTTGAGCTAACTACTCCTCTTCTCAGCTTGCTGAGTCACTAGTATTACAGGTCTTGCCTGTCCTTTCCATTTTACTTTTGACTTTTAAAGCATTTGTTTTATCCACTTATCACTAAATAAAAATGTTCTAACTTGTGCTGGACAGTGGCACAGCAATGATTGCAACAAGGCAGATCCACTAAGGAAGGTGCAGGTTCAAATCTGGAGATCTCCCTGAGAACACTGTGCCCATGATTCAAAGCTGAAGCTAGAAGTGGATCAGGGATGCCATATTTCTCTCTCTGAAACTTTTTTTAAAAAATTTAACTTTAAGTACTTAGTTATAAAGAACCATGGATCTGTATAAAATAAAATTGGTAGGGCTGGCCTGTGACCTAGTGGTTAAGGGAGACAGATCACACATGGCCCAACCATAGTTGGAATCTTGGCCCCTGTGGCTTGAAAAACATGCTGGATTTGTGTGTGTACATACCCAAAATACTGACAGAGAAATGGAGAAGATATTCATTATGCTTTTGAAAAGAACTACCTAAACCACCTTATTTTGGCGATTACACTTGAATGCAGTTGAGATGAGAGTTAAGTAGTCTTTTCTGAAGCAATTAGGTTTTTCAGCCTTCCATACTTAACTTCATAGAAGCAGATTGTTGAAAATACAAAAACTTGTACACTAATCTAAAAAGACCTATTGAACTTTTTCTGGCAGTATCAGTAGATCATGAACTTTTCTAGACATGAGTTCACACTCCTGTACTTTTACTGGAGAATATTTCAATCTTTGAAACAGATTTTCTGACAAAACTGATGCTATCCATTATTAGAATATATAAAAGAACTTAACATGAGTGATGGAAATATGCTATCTTTGGAGTGTTATAAAGCATGGCAAAATCAATGAGTTCATCTTTGAGGGGCATATCGACATTTTCTTCATGTAATTTTGTAGCATGAGTGCCAGTTGCTTAATCAGGATAAAATACAGTGACTTAATCACAATGCCAAAACAACTAAGAAAGCTAAAATCAAAATCTTGTCTTACATTCATGGATGCTATTATTGTCCCTGCCAGTGCATGAATTCTTCCAAATATTGATGGCATTTCAAATTGATGGCACAACTCAACTGATGGTGTGTGGGTTTTATGCTTTGTGATTTCCCACAAAAGAATTTTCACTGCCTAATATGGCAATTTCTTGGGAAAAAGTTATTTTATATTTTTATCTCACAGCAATTAGAACAGTGGTAACTATATTATTGAATAAAAATATAAAAAGGCTAAAATCTAGAAAATATCTAATATGTGGGTATTTACTTTGATGAACACTTAAGGTAAATTATCTAGGTACTCTCTGTTGTCTGTTTTCCAGCTAAAAGATTCTATAGGATATAAATTCTAAAATTAGATTATCTAGTTTAATCAGATAA